CTCGCATATGCGGTGAACTTTTTTCAAGCAACGTAGCACGTTCGATTGAGATTTTTTCGCGTCGGACTTGAGCCACTTCTAACATTTGGAAGGTGTTATTTTTATTAAACTAATAACATTTATACTGCAGAGTTAGCTTGCGGAGGTTTGTTGATAAAAACATCGAAGCAATCTAAACTGTTTGACGTCTTACAAATTTCAAGTTTAACGTCATCAATCGCCCATCCTATGCGCACCGAAAAGATCAGCGTGCTGCCACAGGTGGCATCTTTTGCATGGCGTGCAGTCGTAAGGCTCCCGTCTGAATGGATTCGTGCTGCTGTCGTGCCTGTCGAATCCGTGGGCAGACAGCGAGGTCCGCCCACATTGACAAACGCTAGCTGCCTCCTGCATCGACCAGCATCGTACAAGCCTCCCTAGCGTTCAGTATGCAGATCCAGGCCTCCGTCGCGGCGCTCTCCTTGGCGCTGGTGGCGTTCACTGCCGAGGCCTCCGTGCCTGTGACCGTCTACAACCAGTGTAGTGAGAACGTCGATCTGTATGACAACTCGGCTGTCGAGACCATCGCACCCGGCGGCACCACTAGCCGCACGCTGGCTGAGGGTTTCAGCGGAATGTTCCGCAACGGCGTCAGCTCCCAGGCCACTCGTACGTCGCGGTACTTTTAGTTTCGGTTTGTTAGTATCTAACGTTTGTGCTGTAATGCAGTGGCCGAGTTCGCCGTGACTGGCGGCTTCTTGTGGTATGATATCAGTATCATCCCCACGGGCACCGTTGGTGTAAGTAGTTTTAGTTTATCGGTGTATTTGGATCGATTGTTGACGAATGTTGTGTTTGTTCACAGCCTGGCTACTGTGGGTCATTGGAGGAGTGCAAGGCCGTCACGGGTGGCACGGGATACAACACTCCTATGCAGATCGCCCCGTCAGGATGCCAAACTGTCACTTGTCTTCAGGACGGATGTGCGGACGCGTACCAATATCCCAAGGATGACACCAAGACCCATGCGTGCTCCGACACGACCTCCGTCGTGCTGACTTTCTGCCCTGGTGGCAGCGGAGGCTCGACACCCTCGACCTACGACTCCACGCAGCAGCAGCAACAACAGCAGCAACAGCAGGAGATGACGCCAGCCCCCACCACTGCGGCTCCGACGACTGCACCACCCACCCAACCCCCTACCCAGGCTCCTACGACCCAACCTCCTACTGAGGCCCCCACCACTCAGCCTCCTACGCAACCCCCTACCGAGGCTCCTACTACCCAGCCACCAACTGAGGCCCCTACGCAGCCCCCTACCGAGGCCCCTACGCAGCCCCCTACCGAGGCCCCTACGCAGCCCCCTACCGAGGCCCCCACTCAGGCCCCGACAGAAGCTCCGACGCCGACGCCTACAGAGACACCGACCGCTACCACTGTTACACCGGAGCCCACAACAGAGACTCCTAGCACCCCGGAAGTGCAATACGCGTCGTCGAACTCCACGTCCAACGATGAGGAGCAGGAGGCTGCAACGGTGGCGCCTTCGAAGGTGACCAAGACGGGTACGACCACTGCTGCCACTCCGGCCCCGGTGGCTCAGGTTATCTCGGCGCCGTCAACGTCGACGTCTTCGAAGTCCAGCAACGATAACACTGAGACCGCGAACACGCAGGCTAGCGCTGACAACGGCACTGACTCAGGCACTTACATTGCTACGGGTCTGGGTGGCTGTGCTGTGATTGCTGCTGTCGCTGTGGTGGCTGTTGCTCGTAAGAAAAAGAAAGAACTGGACGCCACGGAAGGCAAAGACTATAGTCAGGAGGAACTCATGACCCCCGTGACTCAGATCAACGTGCTGTAAGTCGTGCCGTTTCACTCGACTGAGGTCTTGTACACCCCAGCCGTACTACCGTAGTGAGTTTATACCTCAGCATTCCTCTCGGGTGCTCGCTCGGCTAAGCAGTTTTGACAAAGGTATCAAGTGTTGATATGAGCGACGTCGAGTCAGAATTCGCTCACTGTGGAATCGTGTACATGTATTTGAATCTGAACCAGATCCGCTTATTTGAACGTCGTTTGATCTTGTTTTTTATGTGGAAAGTGTTGATAGCAGAATTTTATCTTGCGGTAGTGTACTACATGTACAGTAGAGTGAGGAGCCATGTTCAACCTACTTCGTCCCATTCATCGCTTCTACAAGTTTCGTGCCTTACGTGGAATTTAAGTAGGTTAAGCGCTATTTTGAATGGACAACACTGTATCTGAATACCGCCGCGTATCAACGGATGCCCTGTCCGTGATTGTTGATACAGGCGACGCGGAGCCAAGCTCACTGACAGTGTTGAAAGCATGCACATGTACTTGAATCTATTTGAATGTGGATCTTATCAGTGTTTTTACGTGGTTAAAATGTTTATAAACGATTCAATCCTGCAGCTTAAAGAAAGAAACACATTCAAATAAAAACAAACACCTACTACTAGAGTAAGGAAACCCTGGTCAGCCTACTTCGTTCCCAGTAAGCAATTACGCTTTGTCGTTGATAAGGTTGGTCATCGCCATCTCCTTGATATTCTTCGAGTTTGGGCGAGACTTGGTCTCTTTAACATTCGCAGCGTTCCCATCATTTTCACAGTCCAGATCCAGATTTTCAGGGGCTGGGCCACCAAGTAAAATCTGAGCGCAACGTGCCTGGAATCGACGACAGTAAGTAGTAGGCGCAACAGCCGAGATCCCACGAGCAGACTTGCCCAGTAACACTTTACCAGCCTTCTCAAACTGCTTTTCCCAGTCCCATTGCTGGAGAATGTCGATAATACCCACGAAGTACACCTCATTATCTCCAAGAGGAGCAAGGTTCACGCCGCTATTCAGTTCACGGTTGAATACTTCATCGAAGTCTGTTGATGAACCGATTCCTGTCACGTTACCCGGACGAGGAGCTCGAAAGTGGCACTTGTGGATGCCAATAAGCAACGAGTAGTCCATAATGCCAATATCTCGTAGAAACTCGCAATCTGAGACGATCTGAGCGTGTAAATGAACAGCAATGTGGCGAGGTAATTGCAGCGAGCGTTCCAGATCCAAGTCTTTGAACACAATGTCGGGACGGTGAACATGAAAAGGAAACTGCGGTACAGTGTGGTCATCTGTGGACACGCGATCCACGTCGGTATCCAGGGGTGACTCTCCTTCGTCGAAAATGTACGTCGCGTCACACTCTGCACAAGTGACGCGATCACCACGTTGCGGTCTACGTGCACGACGGTCCACCCATGAACCTTTGACGTCGTATTTCTCTGTGATCGTAGCAGTGTGGCGCTCGCTATGCAAGACATTCGACATGACTGCAAAGTAGAAATTGCGACCATAAAGACGAACGCGATGGCAGCCAAAGAACCGGATCAAACGTGAGTGAGGGTTCGCTGTGAGGTATTGAGCGTATGCTGGGGCCATCTCCACTAGAGCGCGACACTCTTTCTCCTTCAGACTCTTCACTAGCAGCGAATTATCTCCCGAGAAGAACATGAATGCTCCACTTGATCCCGCACTTACTCGCTCCTTTGCTGTGGTACGGAAGCTCGCCAAATACTTTTCATCTGAGAGTCCAAACGCCAGTCTAATGGCTCGAAACTCACGTGGAGCATAGTCCACAAACACCTTGGGTTTTGGATCATCCGGTAGAAATTCACGAGTCATTGTGTTCCTCGAGGAATCTGCAGGTTCAGTGCTTCCGCTTCGACTACGGAATACACCTCTCCCTTGACTGAAAGCTGACGTGGCAGTGCGACGTAAGCCTGCAAACACGGCTGAACGTGTGGATCGTCCTTCAATTGGCTCGTCGACTGAAGATCTGGTACTTTGCAGCTCAATCTCCTGCTCGAACAACTCGAAAGGCACTTGAGAGACTGGGTAGAGTGAAAACCTCCCCGGTGTTTGCTGGAACGTGCGGAACATGACGTTGCTGGCTGTGAGACTGAGTCTACCGCTTTGAGGACTCGGATGTTCTTGACTGCGACTGTGGTGAAGATGAGGTTGGCGCCAGATACTCGAATACTCCAACGTTGATGCTGCAGTGAATGAAGTCGGACGAGGAACGTACACTCTCTCCTCTTCAAACGCAGCTAGTGAACGGCGCAGAGTAGAGACGGGAAGTGATACTCGCGGCTCACAATAAGCTCGAGGCGACGAGAGGATCGTCACGCTCTGCACGTGTGAGATGAACGAGCTGTTGACGAGTGTCGAGTCCCTCTCGGCGCCTACAAACAGCGTCGTTTCCACCAATCCACCGTCTCGATCTCGTGAATTAGGCGCGTTCTCTTCTCCTGCTACTGCACCCGATTCGGTGTTAACACTGGACGATCGTGCACGTTCAGCCGACCGGATGATGGCCTTAGTGATGCCACACACTGTGTAATAAATAATCTCGCGCTGCAAAGTTTCGTTGTTCTGCGAGGCCTCGTACGACTCCACTGTGGACGCTTCGTACGAGGAAGAAGATGAACGACTCGATCTAGCTGTAGCTGCAGGTTCTAACACTGACGAGAGTGTTGGTAACGAGTGTTGTTCTTGTGGTCTTAACGCACTGCTTTCTCGCACACTTTCGTGCGCCTCGAAGTTCGATACAGTCGATGACGGAGACAACATCGGCGTCTCATGTGGAGCCAATACACCTGCCTCCATAGACATGACTGTTTCGGAGAGTATCGCTGCTTGGTTCGCTCTTTGAACCCCAATATCTCGGTTAGACGACCTCGATATCGACGCTGACTGGGACGAATTTGAAGCTGATTGTCCTAATGACGGACTATCATCGCTGTCTTTGCATTGATGCAAGCCACAAAACAGTAGACCCAAAGCACAGCAAGGCTTGTTCACACTAAGCCACACCATTCCAGTCACGAAGCCTTTACCCGTGAGCACAAAGTGGAAGAAAGCGTTCAAGAAATTCATTCCTCCAGTCGGCCCAGCGCCTTCCACTTGAATGTAGTCGAGAGCGCTCGCATTGGATCGATAGATGAAGAAAACCACTAATAATACGAGCCACATTGCGTTCAGTGCATGGACGTAGATGGCCATACGCTTCATAAGGCGGCGACGAGCTTTAAGAGCGATAATAGTGCCGCTGTTTGACCTCCACCAGCCAACCACGAGACTCAGTTGAGCAGCAACCACTACCAGCACCACGATAGCGACTAATAACCCCCAAAACTCCAAGTTGAGCTCCTGCCATTGCGCCAATCTGCGTGTTCTATTGGATATAGACTCTCCAGCGTCGGAAGGTAACAGCGGCAGGATCAACGCCACCATCCGACAAACTTGAGCGTCTGAGAGTGGAAATTTATCCTGCGAGTGGCTTGAGAAAAGAATCAATGGTGTTGCAACACTCGCAACCAGCGAAAGGCCCCAGACTACGATGTGGTAGAGCACCAATTGCCGCTTGTAGCTTGCAAAAGGGTTCGATACTGATACGAAGAGATGTAAAATTGCAGCTCCAAACCAGCCAACCCCTGCCAACAACATGAACATCTCCAGACTCGCTGATACACTGCACATAGTCAACCCCATCGGACGACAACCCCCGTCCTCTGCACTACACAGCGTGAGTACGTGCACCAGCGTCAGCAACGCCAGTCCGAACTCACTCAACGCTACAAAAGCCAGCAGTTCATTGGGTCTCCGTCTCAGCCTCCGTCTCCTTAGAAACGACACGAGCACCAATAGCGTCGACACCAGACTCAGTCCTGCCCCCAATACAATTGGTGCCAATGTCTCCACGTGCTTCGGAGCTGCGAAACTTAATGCAAAAAAGCCAATGAAAACCACCACCGCCCCTGCCCAGAAGAGGATTTTCTTCCAACGACGTCGTTGTCGTCTCCAATTGACCAGTCGAACGGGTAATTCCGTCTTTTCCTCGTTCTCTGCGACCTGTTCGCGTTGTATTTGTGTCGAGGAGTTTGCCAGTTGGAGTAGAGCTTGACTGGACGTTCTCCAGTCCATGGACGTGGACGCTGACGCCGAGACTCGACCATTAGCCCCTAATATCGCCGATAGAGCGTGCGAGTGGCTGCGACTACGAGCTACTTCGTCCACTAACAGATCGAACTCTTGAGCGCTCGTGCGTGTAGGCGTGGACACGGCCTGATACTGCGGACTGGTGCAGTTCGAGTCGCTGGCTGGCGCTGGACTTGGAGGACGCAGCGCTCGTCGAGGCGCACGCATCCTGCAAGTAAAAAAGCCTGAAATAAGGGACGCAATAGCGTTAGGTTATCTCGATTAGGAGACTGAATCTGCAGTGGGTCATTCGACTGGTGGCGCACCGATGGAGCGTTGCAGACTGGCAGGCAGCTGCTGGTGCCCGGATGTCCTGAATCTGTCTCTGCCTTTAGGTCGGATTATAAATACTGGAGAAATCCTCAACACGCAATGGGACGCTGCGGATTAGTTACGATCCTCTTGACGTCCCCAGCGCTAGTGGCTTATTGCGCTTTCTGCTCCTTTTCCAACGGCTTTCTGCATAGAGTGCCGTGAGGTGTCCGGACTTGCCCTTTTGGCTCGGCAAGTTGCAGGCAACTCATTTCCTGGGTGTTGATTGGCTGGTACAATGGCTACATTTAGTATTTCAGCCAATCGTGAACAGTTGGAACTGTGTGTAACGGTGGCTCTACGGCCTTTCGCGCAACGAGGTCTACAACGATAATAACTTTGGATTACGGACTATGGAAGTCTATTGAGTCGGGATTTTACTGCTTTACGGTTTTATGGAATCAAGCTGCTTGGTGACCGTCAGTCACGGCAACGATTCTCTCTAAAACGGCTGCTAAGGACGTTGCGGCAACCTGTCCAACTGACGCACGGATGTTGTATGCGAGCCATAACACACAACCGATGGGCGTGCACTATGAGGCCTAATTGGGCTAGCAAGACTCGCGTGGGCAATTCACGCCGGATCTACTGGACTGCTACCACGTTGGTGCTTCGTCCTGTTCACCACCGAATGCGTCAATCGTGGCCTGCCATCGCTGAGATTCGCGAATATATTTTTTTTTTGTCTCAAGGGGTTTCGCTGACACAGGTAAAGGCGTTTTAGCGTCCGTTTTGCTACGTTGCCAGAACGTATGGCTAGTGACGATGATGCCTTGAGGTCACCGACCAACTAAGCTCACGAAACCGCGAGCAGGGTCCCTTAATTATTTTTGTTCGCTGGCAAGCACGAACTACGAGTGGAAAACGAAGACACCTCGATGTCTTGTGTTAATGTTCACTGGTCTGGTTGTGCGTATCCTCAGGCATTATAACGGCCTGCGACGGCGTGTGGCGGAGTGGAAGCTCGAGCTGCTCGTCGTCCTCGAAGCTGAGCGGGGGCCTGTTGATGTTTAACGCAAATTTCGACCTTTTTTGTCGGTAAATCCACTTCAACATGGGGAAAGTAGTTGTTGCATTACGTACAGGAAATCGGTGAACTCTTGTTCGGGAAGATACTTGGCTGCCATTTGTCGTCTGGCTTCGAGGTCGCTCCCGTGCATAACAAGCGCCTTGACTTTCTCCTTGGAAGTCACTTGTTCGTCGTCCAGCTTCTCGAGCTGCTGCAGCCTTCGGAGCACTCGAGCTCGATAAAACACACGCGAGACTTGAGCGTCCACTAACGGGTTGCCGTAAAGCGAGATTTCCCCCAGGTAACGCTGCCTTGCCAAGCAGTTAATCTCGTTGATATCAGCAACGTTATTGTGTGCGAGATCTAGTCGCTGTAACCGCGCACAATCCTGCTCGCGATAGTTGACAATAAAACATTGTGAGCAGCTTCAATGTAGCTTCAATGTAGCAAATAGAAACGGCCACGTACCCCGAGACTCGACAGTGTCTTGAGCTGATTGTGAGCTACGTCCAAGTGCGTCAACCGTGAGAGAAGTGTCACCCCGGAATCAATAGCCGTGAGCTGATTATGGCCCAGTAGAAGCGTTTCTAGGGCCTGGAGTCCTCTCGAGTCCTCAGCTCCTACCAAGCCTCGCATGGACGTCAAGCGGTTGTGTGAAAGATCTAGTAGGCGTAAGAATCGCAGCTGGCGGACACCCGAGATCTCGTCGATGGCGTTATGTGCAAGTCGCAGTTCCAGTAGGAACGGGTGCGTCTGCGCGAGCTCATGTCGAGGCATGGAGACGATCTGGTTTTTGTCGAGCGTGGCCTTGCGCAATAGTGAGCCAATCCAGCGAGCTCCATCTACCCAGGCGTTACCGGGACAGCACTTTGGTACCTTAAAGTTTAGTACCTCAGTGAGATGGTTCTCGGCAGCATCCAGTGTCAATAGTAATGGAATATGCTGCAGAGGAGACAACGATTGAAGCTCGTTTTGTCTGCACACCAAGTGCTTTAAAAAGAGGACGTCAATGCATCGATTAACAACGGCGATTGATGAGATCAACATACCTGAATGTGCGGAAACTCACGAATAGTGACGATGTCTGAGAGGTGCAAACCCGTGAGTGTTGCTGTAGTGTAAATATGCGCCTGTGTGAATGGATTGCGTCCCAGGACACTCAGCCGCTTGATGACCTGCTCTCGTCGAAGAGGACCTGGCTCACTGCTCTCGATATCCACCGCATCCTCAGCTTCGTCAAGCATCGAGAGCCCCTCATCCTCCGACATTGTTCCCTTCTAAGCGGCGGGTAGACGTTTCGGATTCAAAACGGGAGAACAAAATAAGTGACTTTCACACCAGCACTAAGCTAGGATGATGCATTATTACTGCTAACTACACGCACTATGTGCGCCTTGACGTGGAAGAGCAAGCACACTATCAAGTCAAAAGCCATACGAAGTCAAATGACTGTAAAGGTCCACGTCGTGAAGGTAGCGCCGAGCGCTTGAGAGGAGAGAGTTTGTCACTTGACTACAAACGGGCGCTGAGGTTGTCCGGGGTTGACACCAGCACCGACACATCGCGGCATGAGCGATCGCCATTGTCCATGGGGCTCTTGGCCACAATATCCAGAGCCTTCTTCTTCTGTTGCACAGCGTAGATGAAGCCACCAGAGGCGATGCCAGCCACACAACCACCGATCACGAAAATGTAGGTGAGCGATGACGTGCTGTTGTCCGACGACTTGGTCGTCACTTCCATAGCCCCGTCCGAGTCGTTAGAGTTCGTCGTAGTCTTACCGGTGGATTGCACAGTGGAATTCGTCGACGTCGTGGTGGATTCGGTAGCGTCACCAGCAGACTCCACACCAGCATTACCTGCTGAGCCGGCACTGGCACTATCACTCGAGCTGCTCAATGTGAAGTTGCCAGCGTAGTTCTGAGACTGAACTTGAATTCCAGTACTACCCGAAGCCGAAGCCGAACTCGAGACCGGCGCTTCCGTTGGCGTCGGAGTCGGCGTGGCCGTTGGTGTGGCAGTGGTCGGTGTCGGAGTAGCTGTAGTAGGCGTGGGTGTAGGTATGCTTGAGGTGCTGGAGGCCGAAGTGCTGCTAGTGCTAGCGCCACTGCCACCGGGGCAGAACGTCACTTCAAAGTTCGTGCCTTTCGGGCATGTATGTGTCTTAGTGTCGTCGCTCGGGTACTGATAGGCATCCGCACATCCGTCGGCCTCGCAGGTCAGTACCTTGCACGTATCCTCACCGACATTATCCTGCGGAGTGATTTGCATGGCTGTATTGAAACCCGTTTTGCCGGTCTGAGCCTGGCAGGCGCTCAAACTCGTGCAGCTACCAGGGTCAGGCGGAATGATACTGATATCATACCAAGGCGTACCGTCGGAGTCCACAGAGATTTCGGCCACTGCAATATGAAGCAAGAAGTCAGTATTAATATTCGGTGGGCTCACCCGGATGGCACAGCGTACAAGTAGCTTCATCGGAGACCCCATTGCGGAACATGCCCACGTATCCGTTTGCCAGTGTGCGCGTGGTGGAGCTACCAGAGGCAAGCGTCGTGGTTGCGCTGTTGTCATACAGCGCGACGGACTCGGAGCAACTATTAGAGATGGTTACGGAGACCGACGCCTGCACGGCGACGAAGTAGACTGAGAGCCCAGCCGCGGCCAATGCGAAGCGGAGCATTGCAAAGCGGTAGCAACCGGAGCTCTATGATAATATCGGCGACCTGGGGCGCGCGATAGCTGTTTCTTTCAACAGAGGGAAAAAAAGCAAAGTGAGGCATGCGTGGCAGCCGTGCTCCATGT